GCCTTCTATAACCCTTTCTTTATTTCTTTCTTTGCCTTCTTCGTCTAACTCTAATTAGTATACTTTTTTATGTATTCTAATCACAAGTATGAACGGGTCCATACACGACTCACCAAAAGTCTAGAGAACTAATAATTGAACCACGAACCACTAACTTTTTCAGCTTAATGTCGAGACCAATTAAAAATAAATATACATGGTTATTACTTATTAGAAATTCATCATTTTCCACTATGGGATTTGAAGGCGTGGAATTTTAAACGAGTTTTAGTTTGTATTCCTTTTACTTCTCTCTAGAGTTTTTCTTTTTTACCTGGGCTAGAATTTTCGACAATTATACATGGAATGTTTAGCTAGATAGGTATCTACACATATCAAATAATTAGGTTTCATTTTTCTATAAAAAGCTAAATAATTATCATCTTAAATACATCACCACAAAAGGAATTAAGCCTCAACTATGCAAATTACAGATCTATACCTAAAGTTAATAGATCTTTAGACTTATAACCTTCATTATTTTTTTGGCATATAAGTCCTCAAAATATTGATGTAAAATTACATTTTAGTACCTAAAATTTATGTGTATTTACATTTTGGTACCTAAACTTTTGAGGCTATACAAATCGCTCTAATTTTTGTATGTGTAATTAAAATATCATCAAGTAAATGGGTATCCATACCCAACTCATACACATTTAGATTATGTAAGTAAATATTCATACTCTATCCAAACCCATCTACAAACTTCCAGACTCATATATACGTCACTCATACCCAACTTACAATCAATGAGTCTACTTGGATTGACCGCCATATATCTCTTCTCAGTCAATATCATATTGTAAAGTCAATATTACTAACAAAACTACTAACAAAACATTAATTTTAGACTAATAATACTAACAAAATGTCATGACGGACTACATAATACATGTCCATAGGCCATCTCCGCTCGCGACAAGGCGCGACATCGCAACCTAGTGATATATATAAAATTCATTTATCCAGCAGTCATCAATTGCTGCATCATAATCTCCACTTGGTTTTTAGATTTTGGTTTGCCACTTGAAGATGTCTTACTCATGTTGCTTGTATTTAACAGGTTGCTCTCAGATTGAAGTAAAGTGGTCATGTATATGGTTGCTCGGCCCATGACACTACAATTCCAAACATAATTTGTAAGTGATGCTCTTATATCTCATATATGTAAAATGTTGTTTCTTACCCCCAATATTGTAGGGTTCTAGTTCAGGAGGAGGCTCCACAACGATTGCTCAGCATGCTAGACATCCTGATGAGTTGAAAAAAGATAGAGGCAAATGGATGGTTGGTGTGATACTATTTGTATCAGCAAATTCAGGGTACAAGTCCATAAAGGTTGGCTGATTGCTTAGGGGTTTACTCATCGTAGATAAATAAAAATGTGCTAAGGTGATAGTTATACGTCCATGGATATATGTATGCATAGGAATATATGTATGCATTGATACTATGTTGTTAATGGCTTTCAGTGTCCAGAATATTTGGATTTATCTATAGTGACCAGAATATTTGCAACAGTAATAGACACCAATTGATTCTATTTAGCGATGATTTTGACTTGGTTGCAAATTGTTTTAGTGACGAATTAAGAGAGGGTTTTAACCCTTGCTAGTCAGATAGCCAGAGCAGAAAATTTAGTAAGGGTTTTAACCCCTAATACAAACGTCTTATTATTAGATTTTATAGTTAAGTGTAGTAGGGGTTTGAAACCCCTGCTATATAACCTTTGGAGGGGACTTCTATCGTAGATTGCTAAAAATCCTTGCTACATGTAGCAGGGGCAACATTGGTGACTGCTGTGTAAGGGTTCATGCAGGGGGTTGGTAAAACCCTTGCTATAACTCGTAGCAGGGGTCAAAACCCTTGCTATAGGTAGAAAAAACTCCTGCTATAGATTTTTTTTGGAGTGTTTTTTTTTTGTTCTTTTGGCTAAACTCAAGTGTACTATACTTATGATGGTAAAGGTTAGTAATACGTAAGATTATATGATAATGTATGGAAATGTATCATAATGGTATGAAAATAACATAATATTTAATGATTGCATACATGATAATAAGAATATACTAACTACTATCTATCTCCTCTCATCACTGTCTACCAACCCTAACCGGTATATGATGGTACATTTTGTCCCAAATATTTTTCCATAAATATAGTAAACTCTACATATCATGATGGACTTGTTTCTTATGTGAAAATATTTTAAACTTTGAGTTAAAAATGAAAGAGATACAAGATGGTACAAATTTTCTTCGAAATATAACAATTTTTTTATTATGTAGTATATCACACTAAACTTGTTCCATCTGCGAAAATAATTCAAAATTTGAGTCATAACAGATAAAATACAAACCGATAAAGAATAGGGAAAATAAAAAGGTTTTCAATCTCGCATCTTAAGTCTGACCTAATTTAAAACCAAGTTGTCAGATCCTGTTACAAATCGATACAAATACGTAACCTCGGGTTGTGAACCCCTCTCATAGTTATGATATAAGTTACTAAATAAAATGTTCTTAATACATAAATTTGGAGATCTTAATTTCTAATCGGTGTTCTAAAAGACTAAAACGTTTTTTGTTTATCTATACATATGGAATTCAACCGTTCCCTGCAATTGATCTCAAAAGACATTTTGACTCAGCTGACTACCCCACTCGAAAAATCTTTGTGGCTAGCAATTGATAGCTTAGACAAATGAATCAACCTAAAAAAGACAAAACATAAAAGCCTTGTCTGCAACACAGTTGTTCTAGTGTCCATGTGAGTCATGGCGACATTTCAACTTCCAAATTCGATATGATTGACCCCGGCCGGCCGGGCACCTTTCAATAAGACAAAAATCAAGTAGATAGCCCAAAAGCTCAAGATATCAATAGATAATTAATATGTCATCAGACAGCTCATTCGGTTGTATTGTATTAATATATATTAGTTAATTAGCCCGCGCTCTGCTGCGGCGAAACAATCTCCGATTTGCGATTTGTGCTTCACAACATTAACAATTTAACATTATATATGTGTTTATATGTACATGATCCTAAGTGGAAACTCTAAATGAAAAAATAACTACAACTTTATAATTGCAGAATAGTGGGAGAGAACAAAGACAATTAGTTCTTCATTCGAAGTACTTTTGAATTAGTAAGTTCATGATCGCATCCTTAGTCTCTTCAAAAATGGCATCTTGACCTCTTCTGTATCCAATTTAAACATAATCTAATGTACATGCTCAGCTCACCATCACTCCATTCCAAGAAATTCAGGAGCAACTTAAATATATTTACCACTTTTGCAATTCCCTCCAAGTCCATTATTATGCGTCCGTTATGCGCCTTTGCAAGGTTGATCATTCTGCTGCAGTTTTCGGATCAGATTTGGTTAGCTAGCATATCTAAGAACCCGTCCTTTATCTAGCTCTTATATGGAAACTGGATAACCAAATAAATGCAGGACCAAGCCAAACTTCCTAACTCAAGCATGTATAGAGCTCATAGAAGAATCACAATTATAGATAAACATAACGAAGAAATACCAATCCGCCAGACCTGAATCCAAAGATTCTAAGGAATAATATGAATGCAACAACCACCTGGCCTGAGTTCCTCATTCAAGCACCTATAAAGCTCATAGACTAAACACAACAAAGGAATACCAACTTACCGGAACTGAATCGAGAGAGTGTGGTTATTAGAAGATAAAATATTCCTTCAAAAAAAAAAAAAAAGAAAGATAAAATATGAGAAATGGCAACCACCAAGCCTCAGTTTCCTCTAAGATGCAGATTACTAAATATACATCATGCCAACTTATACTAAGATCATGATCAAGGTCAATGCTTTCAAATATAGATGTTAGAACTGAACCATCGATCAATGCTTATTTTCCTTACAAAGAATAATGAAAATCTACAAAAAGATAGGAGTTAAAACGATTAAATTTGTTCAGTTTCTTATTTTCCATATTGTAGCCTGTTTGGTTATGGCTACTGAGACCAGTTTTAGTCTTGCATGGCTAAATTTTGCTAAAAAACAATCATATTGCTCCCATTGCCTGACAATGTAAAGGGTTATTATCTGGTTTACGATATCGGAGGGCAATGAATCATTTACCTAGTTGAGAGTATCTCTCTGCGCGTCTGTTGCCTTTCTTCCCTGGTGAAACCTCACAGATCCCTCAACATGCTGAAATATTATAATATATTTGAAATGGTTAAGGATATCTACCAAGTGGACAAACTTAATACTGAATTCAACACAAAGCATACATATATATATCACTTTCCTAGGAGAAGACAAACCACCATAAAAATCTAAATGAAGCTTTTCTAGTTGAAAACTGGAAACAAAGATGATCAACCAACACCTTGCCATCCCACAGCTGGTAAGACTAAGAGTCCACATTTTCAATGGTACCAATGACGGATTATGTGAGTATGATTATCAAGTTCCAACTTACATAGAAAATCCCCATTTGCAGCATACACATCTAGTGCATTTAGCAGATTGGGGTCTCTCCAAGATAAATAACAGACTCCTGAAACATCAAAGGAAAAATAACAAACCATGCATAAAAGGCTCACACTATCTATTCCTGATGCTTAAATAAACAGGAAGGTGATTCACCTGAGTAAGGATTAAAATGACTCATTCCTCCATATGCTCCACCCATATATAAGACGAACCTGATCCAATAGCCATGTATTAGCTAGAAATGTGATATGAGATAACATATGCATAACCATGAAGAGAATAACGTGGCTATTGCTGATTAAGTAGCTAAATATTCTTAATTGATTATTTAGAAGAGTTACCTTATGTTAGATCACTAACTTAGGAAGGTCTCTAGTAGACCTCTGTGTATATATTGGCAGCCCAAGTTAGGCTAAATAATAAGAAGAAATAAAACCGAGGAAACAACCTCAGGATTCTCCAAAAACTTTCATGGTATCAGAGCCTACTCTGACCTAATTCCGCTGCCGATCTGATCGTATTCTCCTATCCCTCTTTCCCTTCTTCATTTTTCTGGAAAAACCGCCATCTTCGTCATGACGAAAGACGATTCCAGTCACTCCTCAACGAATACAGAAGGCAGTGCTCCTCCGACAAACAACTTCAGCACCGTAACACCAACCTCCACCGATTTTTCCAGCATCCTGACGAGTTACAAGCTCGACGGGAAGAACTATCTCAAATGGTCAAAAACCGTTGAGATGAATATTGCAGCCAGGAGCAGAGGAGGATATCTGACCAGAGCCACCAAGCGCCCCGAAGCTACAGACCCCCTGTATCAAAACTGGTATGACAATGATGCCTTGGTCCGAACATGGTTGATCCATTCCATGAAGCCAAGTATCGGGGAAAACTACCTTCTCCATCCCTCTGCAAAAGCAATCTGGGATGCAGCCAGAAACACCTACTCAACGGTTGATAACACATCTGCATTGTTTCGGATTGAAACACAATTGTTTCAACTCAAACAAGGGGAGATGGATGTCACAGACTACTTCAACTTTCTGGGACATCACTGGCTGCACCTAGATATGTACGAGGCAATCGATTGGGAGACCCCTGGAGATCAAGAGAAATTCAAGCAGTACATTGAGAAGAAACGAACCCTGTATTTCTTACTTGGTTTAAATCAAGACCTAGATGAGATCAAGGGTCGGATGATGGGATTGAAGCCTTTCCCCGGTATCGAGACTGTCTTTGCTGAGATATTAAGGGAGGAGAGCAGACGTCAGCTGATGCTCAATCCTAAGCCAAGCCAAGGGGAAAGTTCAGCGTTAGCTGTTCGTAATTCTCAGAAGAATAAGCCACAAGACCACCCAAGTCAAAAGCGGGATGACGATGAGTCCGAGCTCTATTGTGACAACTGCCACAAGCATGGTCACGTTAGAGCTGATTGCTGGTACATCATCGGATTCCCAGCCAACTGGAAACCAAAAGGAGAAAAGAAAAACAACAATAATGGTGCTGGAAGACGTCGAGCTCATGTGGCAGCTTTGGCATCTGAGAAGAAACCAGAACCTGAATCAACCCCTACTCCTTTTACCAAAGAGCAAGCTGGTGCATTAGAGAAGTTCTTCAAAGCAATGACTATAGGGCAGCCATCCCAACAGAACCAAGCAGGCATGTTCACAAGCCTGTTTGCTAACCAAGGTAAACAGTTTACTGCTCTTTCAGTCCAATCTACATCAGGTGTTAAGTGGATAGTTGATTCAGGGTGTTCCGATCACATGACTGGAAATAAAGAATTATTAAGTGACTATCAGAGATATCCGACCAAGGCTGGGGTAAGAATAGCTGATGGCAGCCCTTCTCCTGTAGAAAGAATTGGAAGGATCCGACTAAATCAGTACATAGAGTTATTCCCTATCCTACATGTCCCCAAGTTAAACTGCAATCTCGTGTCAATCAGGTAGATAACTAGGGATTTGTCTTGCAATGCCATATTCAGTTCTAATCGTTGTTCCCTGCAGGAGGAAGGCTCCGGGAGGACGATTGGAACTGCTGAAAGGCATGAGGACCTCTTCATCATTGAAGGACGTGGTGATGAAGAAACAAGAGGAACAAGGAGGGCTCTAGCTACTAGTAGTACTGATAGGATAGATGGCCAAATCATGTTATGGCATACACGATTAGGTCATCCCAGTTTTGGATATCTCGAACGGTTGTTACCAAATTTGTTTCGGAATAAAAGCTCCAAGTTGTTGCAATGTGAAACATGTCAGTTGGCTAAACACACTCGAAGTGTTTATTCGGGTATGAGTTATAGACCAACCCAACCGTTTGCAATTATCCATAGTGACATATGGGGACCCACACGAGTCAAGAACATCAATGGAGCTAAGTGGTTTGTCACTTTCATCGATGACCACACTAGACTTACGTGGACATTCTTGATGAAAGAAAAATCTGAAACAACCAGTGTGTTTAAGGAGTTCTACCATATGATTCTCACTCAGTTCAAGACAAGAATACAAGTCCTCAAGACGGACAATGCTCATGACTACTTTAATTCTGTCTTAGGGACGTTTCTTGCACAAAATGGGGTTGTACATTGCAGCTCTTGTGTAGATACTCCCCAACAAAGCGGAATTGCATAACGGAAGAATCGCCACTTATTGGAAACGGCTAGGGCACTACTATTTGGAAATCAAGTTCCCAAACACCTATGGGGAGAGGCTGTATTGACTGCTACATACCTCATCAACAGGCTTCCTAGTCGAATCCTTAAGTACCAGACTCCGAAAGATATCTTGGTTCAAGCATACCCTCACACAGAGGCATATCTCTCGGATCTGGAACCAAGGGTGTTTGGCTGTCTAGCTTTTGTTTATGTGCAACAACATCACCGAACGAAGCTAGACCCCAAGGCTCAGAAATGTGTGTTCATCGGGTATTCCTCTCGACAAAAGGGATACAAGTGTTATTCCCCCATCACACGGAAGGTATTCAATTCCATGGATGTCACCTTTTTTGAGAATCACTCATATTACTCCCACACTGATGTCCAGAAGGAGACATTGGAACAAGAACATCAAGAGTGGGAAAATCTGATCGCTTTGGATGGTTTTACTATGCCAAATGTCACAGTAACTCTTCCACCAGATGTCACTATAACTCCTCCAACAGCAAATGAAATACCAGTTGGGGATCAGGAAAGGAGACCCGAACAAGTGATTCGAAAGATGTATCAACGACGAAGGAAAAACCACACTCGCAATAGGGTTGAACCAGCTGAAGCAGATTCAGTACAGCCAGAAATGACAATTAGAACAGAAGATGAGGCTTCGGACAATGAAGAACAGCCATCTCATAACATTGTTAATGAAGCAGAAGTCGAAGTGGATAATCAGGAGGAGAATACCGAAGCTAGTGAGTATCAACCGATTGCTCTACGAAAGGAAGTGAGGTCATGTACTAAACACCCCATTCAAAGGTACGTCAGTTATGGACAGCTAAGTAAGGAGTTCAAGGCATTCACTAGCCATTTGGACTCAACTCCTAGAACCATTGCAGAAGCAATGCAGCATCCTCAATGGAGACAAGCTGTTCTGGAAGAAATAAGAGCATTAGAAGAGAATGGAACTTGGAGGATTGTGCCTCTACCAACGGGGAAAAAGACAGTTGATTGCAAGTGGATATTCACCATCAAATACAATTCGGATGGAAGTGTTGCAAGGTACAAGGCAAGGCTGGTAGCTAGAGGATTCACACAGTCATACGGCATAGACTACCAAGAAACCTTTGCTCCCGTGGCAAAACTGAAGACTGTCCGAATACTAATGTCAATTGCAGTTAATGAAGACTGGCCACTGTTTCAAATGGATATCAAGAATGCCTTCCTAAATGGCAACTTGAGTGAGGAAGTATACATGGAGATACCCGAAGGAGTGGAAAATAAGCATGGTAAAGGCTCGGTGTGTAAACTGGAGAAGTCACTATATGGACTAAAGCAATCACCACGAGCGTGGTTTCAGAAGTTCTCTAAAACTGTGATGGCAGATGGGTATTCCCAAAGTCAAGCTGATGACACTATGTTTATCAAACATGGACAAGATGGAAAGCTCACTATCCTGATTGTCTATGTTGATGACATAATTGTCACTGGAAGTGATACTAAAGAAATCGAGAAACTGAAGGCTAGACTGAAAGAAGAGTTTGAGCTAAAGGATCTCGGCGAAATGAAATATTTTTTGGGAATGGAGGTGGCCAGGTCACATAAGGACTGCTTATATCACAAAGGAAGTATGTCCTTGATCTATTGGAAGAAACAGGAATGACTGGTTGTAAACCAGCAGATACACCGATGCAACCAAACATCCAGTTCAACACCAAATCAGATGTGAAACGGGCTGATAAAGGGCGATATCAGCAGCTGGTTGGGAAGCTAATATACCTATCCCACACACGGCCAGACATTGCATTCGTCGTAGGAGTGGTAAGTCAATTCATGAATGATCCATCAGAAGAACACCTGGCAGCAGTAACACATATCCTAAGATACTTGAAAACAACTCCAGGACTGGGATTGTTTCTCACAAAGAATAGCAGCCGAACAGTTGAGCTATATACCGATGCAAGTTGGGCTAGTGCAATAACATCAAGGAGATCTACTACTGGTTATTGCTCATATGTTTGGGGTAATCTTGTGACTTGGAGGAGTAAAAAGCAATCGGTGGTTGCTAGGAGTAGTGCCGAAGCAGAGTACCGGGCATTAGCTCTTGGCATCCAAGAAGCTATGTGGATTCAAAGAGTCCTAAAGGAACTAAATCTGCCTGGTCAAGAGAAAGTGCAGATGTACACTGACAGTCAGGCAGCCTTGAGCATTGTAAAGAATCCAGTCCATCACGACAGGACTAAACATGTCGAGATAGACAGGCATTTTATCTCAGAGAAGGTTGAATATGGGGTCGTGGATGTCAACTACGTGCCTTCAAGACAACAAACAGCTGACATACTCACAAAGGCCCTAGCTCGTGACTTACTGGAGCATTTCAAGAACAAGCTCGGTCTTCATAACATCTACACCAAGCTTGAGGAGGAGTGAAGAGAATAACGTGGCTATTGCTGATTAAGAAGAAATAGAACCGAGGAAACAACCTCAGGATTCTCCAAAAACTTTCAGAAAACAATAAATGAAATTACCTGGCCACCCATTATTCGTTTCTAAAAGCCGATGTTGTCATCAAGCCTGAATCAATCCATGTTACACAATCAGAACGCTGAGTAATAGTTCAATAACCTCTTGGTAGGTAATATGAAATCAAAGAATGGAAAAGGGCACTGTCAGTCTTACTCCCGGAGTTTGCTGCATAACCGCAGGTTAAAGGCTAGAGAACTACTAATTTAATCCGGCCTAACCATCACGATTAACTAATAGATGAGACTAAAGTGTAATTCAATGATGAATTCATAACCCAATCTATCTCTACATTATCCAAATAACTGTACTGACATGAGTTAGTAAGCAGGAGAATGTACCCCTTCTTCCCTCAATGATGAATTCATCAAGTATTGGCGCTTTCATGGTGTGCTTTATGGCTTCCCTTGAAGTCTCCAACAGCAACCTGAAATAGCCACCACAATCACAATCACTAACCATTTTGAGCTGAATCGAGATACATTAAGGGGAGTAAAGAGATTGGTTGCAACTGATTCCCTGGATTTTGGTCAAAATTTCAAGTTAGGGTATGCGAAACGACGGGGAAACCAAAGAGGAATAAGGGTAGAAACAAAGCATTTGATTAAAGGGTTGAAATCTAGCTAAAGAGAGGTACATCCTATCCGAATCTCCCATTGCAGCTTCGTGGAGGTGATTGAGGAAGCAAATTGGCCCGGCAGGAAGATTTATCGGTGGTTGAGCAGGCTTTTGTCCATCAAGCAGTTTCCCCTTCCGGTTTCGATCCCATGGAAAATAAAGGAAAAGCAAGGAAAATCAAGTATAGATCTTATCCGTCTCTCCATGGCGGCTTTAATTTCGCGCGAGAGTTGAGGAAGCAAACTGGTCCGACACTCCTATGACGGCTTCAATTTCGAGGAGTCCCATTTTGAAGAGAGCAAAAGCAAGGAAAATCAGCTAATCAAGTGTAGATCTGATCTATCTCTCCCATGGCGGCTTCAAGTTTGCTTAGTCGAGGAAGCAAACTGGCCCTGCTCTCCCAAGGCTGCTTCGATTTCGTGGAGTTGGGGGAGCAAACTGGTCCTCAAAGAGATATCGACGGTAGACCAGGCTCCTCTCCAACCGTTTCCCCTTACAGATCAATCTTAAGAAAAAAACAATAGAAGAAAAAAAAAAGAGTTCAATAGGAGAGAGGAGAGAAGTGACAGGGCGATTTGAGTTGACGGGAAAGAATGAGTGAAGAGGCACAAGAATTTATGGGATACACGCATAGGTATTCAACGGCTGAGATTAGTTGATCAATGGTTATGCTTGATCTAATTAAAGGGTTAGTCTTGGGTTTACCGTGTAATCGTTCACATCTGATTCTAAAATTTTGTGAACAATAACTCCCGATTTTTTCTTGATGAACAGTGGCCGAAATTTTTGCTAACTTGTGTATAACCCGTGAGTTCCTAAGAAATCGGGTCACTGTTCATTAAGAAAAATTCGACGTCTACTGTTCACAGGGTGGTTGTGGTTAAGTGCTTGCGGTTTCAGCGTAAACTTCTGTATACCCCTTCGGGCTGGCCAAGCAGGATCATTGATCACGGGGTGGGCTGGCCATTCATGGCCGTTAGATCGTTATCTATTATCAAGTCGCGTTTCTTCTCCCCTGCATCGCTCCTAGGTCAATTTCGTTTCATCTAAGACAAAAAGAAAAAAAAATTGTTTTGAGGGCAAATCGAAGCCCTCGCCGCCGCCTCCATCCATCTCCTCCATCCTCCCGACCGAGCATAAATCAACGCTACCACTCAACCCATCTCCCTCTTCCTCAACTTACCATTCATCTCTCTATTTCTCTCGACAATCAAAATCGGCCTAGATCAAAGCCGCCTTCTTGTCCCTTTTCATCTCCCTCACCATCCTAACCCTAACTCCTAGATTTCAGCTCTTCCCTACCTCTTCGTCTTTCACCTTGAAGTCCAATCTATGTTTCCACATCTGCATCATCCAAATAAAGTGGACTCTGCAACAATAACGAAGAGGATGCTCATCAAGTTCCGTTGCTTCTATTCTGTTCGGATCCGCCTCATCTACCTTTTCTGATCAATGGTCACTGTAAGGTCCTTCTCCTCCTCCTTTTTTTTGGGTTTTCATTGTGGCGATTATGAGCTTTTGAAAGCATACAGTTGGTCACTGTACGGAATCTTCTGCAATATGTTGCTGGATCTACATCCTACTTTCCCTCCCAGACTTCTTCTCACTCAATCTTCAGCAACACTAAGAAATTGCTTCGGACAGAGTAGTGTCGATGGCGTTTGATATATTGAGTTTTAGTGTTTGATTTATATCAATTGGGTATTTTTTACTTTAATTGTAAGATCAGAACATGAATATAACATAGAAAACTCTACTCTGTGTCCTCACAGTATAAAGATTGTTGGAAATGATAGAGAAAACATTGGAGACTAATAACAACACCGCAGGTTAAAAATAGAAGAGATTGACAGAAATGAGGTTATAACCAGAAACATAGTTTGTCATCTTCATTTCTGCAGTCATTGTGAACTCAAGGGTTAGTGAAGAAGCTGTAATGAGGTTGTGTACACCTTGGAGCTTCAGTCAATAGTTGGATTTAAAAAGTTTTTGAAAGGTTAGTTTGGTCCCTGATTGGTCTTTTTGGGTTAGTCAGAACCTTCGCAAATTAGTTGTATCGATGTTGCATTTGTTCCTGCCTATTAACATCTTTAAAAATACTATCTTATGGTTTCTTTCTAACAGAGCAAGACCATAATTGATTTTTCCATAATCTTTCTAGCACTTCACCTCTTAGATTACAAATGTCAATGATTATCAATTGGGTTTCCTCTCAAATAATGGTTTTTTTTTCTCTCAAACAACATTGTTGTATTCTACCGTATCAATCATTTGACTTGCTCTATTAAAACTGTCTTTCTTTTGGATAAATGGCTGAAATTATGTCTTTCACTAATGCACTTTCACTCAATCATGCCGGAGGTGTAGTGTTAAGGTGAGCTTTTGAAAGGATTCAAGGATACAACATCCCTTCTGGTTCGACAACTCTACTTCTGTGTGAAATCTATCTATCATTGCACTAATTTGTTTAGTATGACACTTCACTATTCAGGTTATGGGAAAAGCGTAATTAGCATAAGTAACCAAGGGTTGAAGCTCCTTCCTGTGAAGGTTTGGCTTGAAGATAACGAGTTTAGCAAATATATTCAAATATGTATGATGCTACCTTTTTCTTCACCATCTACCATTCTGTATGTTTTCATGCAAGTATTTTTAGGTGTTTGATTTGCTAGCCACTGGGATATCTCACTTAAGCTTTGTTATGTTGTATACTTGAGTTTGGTTACTCCTTGGCAAAGGTGAAACTGGAGAAGTTGGATGATGCCACACAAAGGTCCCCATCCATATGCTAATCAGAGAATCACCATGGTGATCATCAGCCAAGTGTCGGCTCTATAAACATGAGATTTGTTATTCTAAGGCCATTTCCCTATTTCGGCAGATATATATATACATACATAGTTGGGATCCACTACTAATGTTTTTGTTCTGATTCTTAGGCGTGATCAAAAATATCTTCCCTGCCTGATTTAGTTAATGGTTTGTTCTCTTCTCTACAGATAGCTATGGAAATCTCACAGTGTGGTTGGTAGCTAGAGGATGTTTCTTTGTAGCTAGAAGATGTTTCTTTGGTAGTGTCTTATAGATATCAATTATATATGTCACCCAAAATGCATTTCTTCCTTGCCTTTATAGGTTTGGGGAAACTCTTTTGCTAAGGTTTAGCTGGGGTGCACTACCATGTTGGCTCTCTTTCTCTCTAGATAGCAGTCGAAATCTCAGCCTGTAGTTTATAGCTCAAGGATGCATCCTTTGTAAAGTTGGTAGATAATAAGCTACGTCACCCAAAAATGCTTTTTTTTCTTGCTTTTATAGGTTTGAGGAACTCTTTTGTAAACAATTTGCTTTTAGTTTGTGATGTGATACAAAATTATGTAATGGGCCTATAGATATCGCTGTTGTTTTTTTGGACAACTGCTATTTACAACATTTGTAAATTTTTTCCTTTCCTATGATTCAACCATGCATATTTCTTCCTAAGTTGGCTGAAAGGGAAACAATGGTCATCTCTCTAAAAAATGGTAGAAATGTATTGTATAACAAAAATTGAGCCACTGCAAAGCGCGGGCCATGGATTTTGGTCAAAATTTCCAGTTAGGGTATGCGAAACGACGGGGAAACCAAAGAGGAATAAGGGTAGAAACAAAGCATTTGATTAAAGGGTTGAAATCTAGCTAAAGAGAGGTACATCCTATCCGAATCTCCCATTGCAGCTTCGTGGAGGTGATTGAGGAAGCAAATTGGCCCGGCAGGAAGATTTATCGGTGGTTGAGCAGGCTTCTGTCCATCAAGCAGTTTCCCCTTCCGGTTTTGATCCCATGGAAAATAAAGGTAAAGCAAGGAAAATCAAGTATAGATCTTATCCGTCTCTCCATGGCGGCTTTAATTTCGCGCGAGAGTTGAGGAAGCAAACTGGTCCGACACTCCTATGACGGCTTCAATTTCGAGGAGTCCCATTTTGAAGAGAGCAAAAGCAAGGAAAATCAGCTAATCAAGTGTAGATCTGATCTATCTCTCCCATGGCGGCTTCAAGTTTGCTTAGTCGAGGAAGCAAACTGGCCCTGCTCTCCCAAGGCTGCTTCGATTTCGTGGAGTTGGGGGAGCAAACTGGTCCTCAAAGAGATATCGACGGTAGACCAGGCTCCTCTCCAGCCGTTTCCCCTTACAGATCAATCTTAAGAAAAAAACAATAGAAGAAAAAAAAAGAGTTCAATAGGAGAGAGGAGAGAAGTGACAGGGCGATTTGAGTTGACGGGAAAGAATGAGTGAAGAGGCACAAGAATTTATGGGATACACGCATAGGTATTCAACGGCTGAGATTAGTTGATCAATGGTTATGCTTGATCTAATTAAAGGGTTAGTCTTGGGTTTACCGTGTAATCGTTCACATCTGATTCTAAAATTTTGTGAACAGTAACTCCCGATTTTTTCTTGATGAACAGTGCCCGAAAATTTTGCTAACTTGTGTCTTAATAATTCTAATCTAATATGGGTGTCTATACAAAGTCGTCAAAGAATGTAATCAAGGGTCACCAGCAAGTCACTTTAATTCTCACCCTCATTAGCCTGCCGTTTACCCTACAAGGGTCACTCTCTTGACCCTGAGACTCACTTGATGAGTCGTTCCGATCTTTACATTCATCGTTGGCTTTGATATATGATTCTATGAGCATGTTTGTTATCCGTTTTGTTTAATCTGCAAAGGTAGTGGTGCATTGCACCCATTTTATAAAAAGAAAAACAAGTAATCAACACGAGTTAGCATAAGACACTTACTATACAGTAATCAAGCTGAAATGTTTAACAAAGGTCCTCAAATTTTCCATGTACATACTTGGTTGCGATCGGTCCATCGACCATTACTTTTTAATTAATGCCAATCAGTAAATTAAAATCATAGCATCATCAAAAGCGCGCAATTAGTTAATTTCATACACAAGAACCCAATTTTATTCCATGCCCATGTCCAATCTTTCACCAGAATACATCAATATATATGGAACAATATTACAAGAATAATTAAACCAACCCCCTAAGGAAATAGAAGAAGGGTAGGAGCCTTCACAAAACTTCCACACAGAGTCAACCCATCAAACAAACCAAATGGTAACCAAACATTCATGATTCTTACACAGATACTTCATCAAAATTATAAATAAATAAAAAAGAACACCCAAAATCCCAAACACAAAACTCAATTATAATCAAGCACACTGAAACCCTTCGGGAGCAGACTTCCCGCATACGTTGAGGAGCAAGCTCAAGGCAATAGGGACATTAAGGTTAAGCCCCAAAACATTGGCCTTAAGCGCAGTGCAAAGGCACACAGCCGCCTCAAGGTCCACCAAGTCCCCTAGAAGAGAGCAGCAAGGAGTGGTGGCTGGAGTGCCCACAACCAAGTGCACCAAATCATTCAACAGATTGGCACAAACACCCAACTTCAAGGTGTCCTTAGGGCACTTCCCGCCTTTCGATGGGTGCTTATGGTGATGCTTGTGCCCCTTTGGCGCGGCCGGCGGAGGGCAGTAAGTGGAGCTCACTAGAGTGAAGAAGAGGAGGTTTAGGGCCAGGAGAAGCGCAGTAGAGGCTGCAGCTCTTGAAGCCATGATATTGGATTGTTTTACTAGTACTCTCTTTTTTCTTCTTCTAGGGTTCTAGTATAGTAAAGTGCTGGATGCTTGAATTTTTGGAGTAGTGGTGGGAAATGGGAATAGTTGGAATAGGGTTAGGGTTTTTATAGATGGGGGGAGAACAATGTAGAATATTGGAGTTTATGCGAAGGAAAATGCTTGGCATAAAGAGATACAACACCTAGTTCATGCATATTTGTATTTATTCACGTTACTTGATGTTTATTAATTGGGTATTTATTCACGTAAGAGTTATGTTTATTCACACTAAGAGAATTTCAAACTTTTTCTCTTTTTCAACCCAATAATGTGTATTGGTCATGTTTTATAGAATTAAATTTGGATTTTCAATCTATAAAAATAAGTTGTGTTATCGTAATATACACAATGACATTCGTTTTGATATATTTTAAAATATAAAAATTAATTTTACAATAATGTGAATAACCACCACAAAAATTGTATTGCGTGAATGTATATGTATGAATAAACACAAATTACGTGAATAAACTGAAAAAAATACGTGAATTCTTTATTGTGGCTCCGACTCTTTAGATGCCACCGAACCTTTTCCCTATGCAAATGATGGGATCTAAACAGCACTCACTCTTGGCCCTTGAGGCCATGTGGGCTCGATTCTGAGGAGTGGTGGCATGGAAGAACATAAAGCTGGCAGTGCAGAGAGACGATCGATAATGGAGGGAGAGGATAAGGGTTGCTTGTGACTATCGATTTTGGAGGTTTCCTGGAGGTGTTTAGCTGTCATTTTTTAAACCTAGCTTCCACATGCAATAAGATAACGTTTTCATTTCATGATGCCATATGTGTAGCGTGGTGATTGGTATATGCGTTAGAGCAAAAGACAATTTTAATTAATTCGATTGATCCAGCTCTTTGCTTCATATGTATGATTGTCCAGAACCAACTCATCGATCTTAAGACATTATTGCATGGTGGGGGTTGCCAAACATGGAGGAAAGATGCATCAGGGCCACTGTTTGGAAAATGCAGGATCAGTAGGAATTCTATAGTATTTATCTTTCCGCAACTCGACTTATTCTGGCAAATCTATTATTTCAGTTTGGCTCATAATTCAACGACCTTATGCACTTCGACTGGGAGTTCAAGATTGGCCAGACCTATAGAGAATGTAACAGAACGGCAGACTACTTAGCGAACAAAAGCAACTCTCTTTGATATCGGTACTCATTATATTAATTAGGGTTGGCTATTTGGTTCCGGATATTTGGTTTTACCCGAAACCGGACCGTATAACCCGGACCCTGGTAGCAAATAATCAAATCCAATATTGGGGATTAGATTTGAGTTAAAAAACCACAAACTCAATCTAAAATCCCCACAAACTCAATCTAAAACCCTTTGAGTCCTTAGGGGACTCAAATCCCCACAAACTCAATCTAAAATCAAGACCGAATACGGACCGTACCGGGTCAAGACCGGACTGTATCCAATCCAATCTTTGATCCTTGTATTCCTGAAAAGACCAGACTGATACCAGATCAATTCGGGCCAATTTAACCGGGCCGGACCGTAAAGCCACCCCTAATATTAATGCTTCACATTCAGGTCTCGAACATTAATTACGTATCATATTATGAGTTTTTCCCGATGTCATTTAATTTAACTAAATCAGGTCGTTACGTTCTTTTTGCGTCCTTCTTTCCCGAAATTTTTTTTCTCTCATAACAACTTGAGTTGGAAACTTTTAAGAAATTTTATAGATTACAATCGTTTGTATTTATATATAATCGTCAAACCCAATCGAAGACCGAAAGTTTCTATACTTACCTCGGCTGTGTGAAAAAATATAATTTGTTTTGCCAAGTTTGAGGGTAGATGGGGGAAATAGGCTCTCAGTCAGATCTTGTTATGTTGCGGTGAAAATGACTGTAGACGATGGCTGTCTCTGTTTTCACGTTCTCCATGTCGGGAACTCAACGAGGCCAGCAATTCCGTGGCAGCTGAAGCCAGTAGTACTAGTACTACTCGCCTTGCACTAACTAGTGCTAATCATGCTACGATTCTTCAATCTTTGCACCAATGTATGTATATACCAGTTTGGTTTGGAGGTTATTATCTCTCTGCAGTCGCTTCTAATCATTGAAAATACATACGTTTTGTTACTCACTTACTGTACAATATTAATACAGCTTTCTGTACATATATGAAAAGGTGAGGAGCCAGATAGTGAGAGCTTGATTAACATGTCTGTGGCGTTCGTAGTGATAGCAAAAGTACAGTCGCTAAAATGGGTTATGCATGTGATGTGAGGGAGATATAGATTTGAGCTAGCTAGCTAGCTAGTGTCTGTGTGGTACCATATCTAATCATGTTGTCTGACGTTATACTTAGGAGGGGTGAAGCGCTAGAAGTGGAATCCAGCTATGCCCAGTAGTGAAGTTATGTGTAGTTCGAGAGGAGCTATAGGTTTTTATTAAAGTTTATAATTAATGTGCGTTTTCATATGTTGAGAAAGCATTATTAATTAGTAAGTGGTAGAATAGGAGGATATTAGCTCGCGTTCTCAATTTGTGACAAAATATTGTATTGCATGTATACCTATTGATCGTACTTTGATTGCCATAATTTCCATCAAAATCGATCTTGCACCCAAATGATAAATAAGAAGAAAAAAAAAAAAACCATCAGAAACAGGAGCTCAGTCAATTGGTGAGAGCTTCTGCCATGAGCACGTACCGGACCACCGAGATTAGAATGAACCCAATCTGTCTCTTATGTTTATATATGTAGATGTTGTAATAACTAAGAAGATTGAGAATTCAGATTGTGCTTGGGAGTTGCAGATCAGAAACCAATTGTACTCAAATTATTTCACCGACGTACGACTCGATACTAATCTGAAAGAAGTTAGGGGTGGTTTGGATGAAAGTGATGAGTCAATGTTCTCCAATTGACTCAGAATGAGACAATTGGGCCAAATTATCCCATTTGGCTACAAAAAGTAGGAATGAGGCAATTGGACATGAGATAATTGAAAGTGTTTCATTATGGGTCAATCACAATTATTTGGGTGGGAGGAAGGTAATCTACATTACTCCATTTTGTGGGTCACTTTTCCCAATCTAACCCCTTTATTTACTATTTTTTCTTTCTTTCTTCCTTTTCCCAAGATGGAGAAGGGCAAAAGTATGAGGGCAAATATGTATTTTCATTAAATGCATCATCACAATTGTCTCATGCCAAATCACAAGCCAAACAAGACAATTATGTAAACATTTCCTCACACAATTAACTCATTTTCTAAAATGATACTTTTGTCCCAAATTGCCTCAATTTGAGAATGTTCCATCCAAACGACCCCTAAGAATAGTTGACAGAATACTTCGAGCAGAAAGACTTAACCAGCATTAGTTATGGATGGAGCCATGAAAATCCGTTGAAGGCAGTCATCAAATCAACGATATCATATTCACGTTGGCTGTTAATCCTCAACGAAAACATCAGATCAAGATCAAGCACAACCGGCTTCTAAGACAGCAGTAGAAGTATTGATAGAGAATTGTCAAACAAATATATTTAACGGGGGATTGATGCTCTAACCTTCCCAACCATTATCACAATCGATTTGCAATATTAATTAATTCACTAGATAATTGGCTCGCGCTTTGCCGCGGGTCCATATAGTTATTTTCGTATCTTAAAAATGAAATGATCAAATCATGTAAAAATTAATTAGTTTTAAAATTTGAATTTCAGATGAACTTAACCTATCATTAGATATCGATCACAGTCTCCCTAATTTTACACAACAGTTAAAATTATTTTGTGAGCTATAAATATCTTACATATAGGTTAAGAGAAAAAATTATTCTCATGTGATAATGTAACATGTACGTGTAAGACAGACTCAGATAATGACTTTGTCAGAACAGAAGCGTGCAATCGATAATCCAAACCAGCAGGAACGAACACAAATTTAACGTGGTTCACTAACACAATGTGTGCTAGCTAATCCACGGGCAAGGGGGACAAATTTCACTAATTTGAGGAGAGTACAGGTTCAAACCAAATTCCAAACGGACAAACCAAACAAACTAACCTGACTGACCTTACTACAGACTAGGGTGATGAAGAGTATTTATAGAATCTTCTCCTAATCCCAAACAGAAAACCAAACACCTTTTTCCCAAACATACAAGGAAAAGGCCAAAACAAAGCCCAAACATAAACCCAAACAAATATGCCCAAAACACAAAACAAATCAAAATCAAAATCAAGTCATATTCTAACAATCTCCACCTTGACTTGAATTCTCTCTTAAATACCAAATGTACCAGATGCAACCAAAGTTGCCAGATGTACCCAACTCCTCCAAATCAGTTGTACCAGAATCTCCCCTGCCTCCAAATGCCCCTAAGGGCGGTCAACAACTCAAACCATTCGGCAAGTCCAATCCATATTGAGACTTGCCATTCAGAACCGACTTGCTGCACTTATCAGCAACCAAACATGTCAAAACAGAACCTTGTAGACTATACAAGGCACCCCGCTTGACCCCTTTCAAAATCACCTTAGAACCCTTGTAGACAAACAACACTCCACCTTCACCTTTGAAGCTTAAACCCTTGCTGTCGAGTAGACTCAAAGATATCAGATTCTTAGTCATTTCTGGAATATGCCTAACATTGTTCAACGTGCGAACAAAACCATCATGTGTCCTTATCCTGACAGAGCCTCTTCCAACAGTCTTACAGATAGCACCATTGGCCATAGAAACATGTCATCCATCTATCTACTCATAAGTTGAAAAACACTCCCTGCTTGGACACATATGATAATCAGCTGCAGTATCTAAATACCACACATCCTGATGATGTACCTGTTCATTCACTGCTTAGGCTAAACCATCTTTAGAATCAGAGTTAGTTTCTTCCGCCACAACAGCAGATGATCCCTTCTTCTCCTGATATTTCTTTAGCTTAGGACAATCAAATTTCCAATGTCCTTTCTCCTTGAAGTAATGACAGATATCATCCTTCAAACCAGCAGAATTCGAATTTGTATTCGCCTTCCTATTACCAGATTGTTGTCTCC